TGGGTGTGGCCAGTGGTGCTGGCCTCACCCCCCCCTCCCCTCTGTCTGCTCCATCTTTGCGCCCTGCAGGGAGTGAGAGGTCAGTGCTGCTGGCATCACCCCCCTGCTCCATCAGCTTCATGGCCGTTGCCTCAAGGGAGTGGGGGTGGGGGCCAGCACCACTGCTCCCCCCATCCACTCTGTCACTGCCACCTGCAGGGATGGGGGGGCAAGGCATGGCCAGTACTGCTCACCTTGTCCCCACTTGCTGTCTGCTCTGTGGCCGCTGCCTATAGGAAGCAGGCCGGGGGCCAGGCCAGCAGCGCTGGCCTCACCGCCCTACTCCATCCCCTGTACCTCCACCATCATGGCAGTGGAGTGCCACCACCTCCTTTCCAGAATGCTCTTGGAGCACTCTGATTGGTTGTTTCAGACAACTAATCAGAATAAAGCGTTATGGACAAACAGACTAAGGCTTATATATATATATACACACACACACACATATACACACACACAAGCCTTAGTCTGTTTGTCATAATGCTTTATATAAATATATATAATTCATGTTGAAACGGCAGGAGGTTTCGAGTGAAGTCCCACGGGGGATTGTCCTAGGCCCAGTGCTGTTCAATGTGTTTATTAATGATTTCAATGCTGTAAGAGAGAGTCTGAAGCAAATCTGCACACTATACAAAACTGTGAAGGATTGTGAACACACTGGAGGACAGGAATGCAATTCAGAAGGATTTTGACAAATTAGAAAGCCAGGCTACAGCCAAAAGGATGAAGTTTAATGCTGTCAAATGCAAAATGCTATACCTTGGGAGGAGTAATCAGGAATACAGATATAAGATCAGTGACAACTAGCTGGACAGAAGCACCTTGGAGAAGGATCTAGATATCTTGGTGGATAACACACTCTGTCTGAGTCAACACTATTATGTGGCTGCACAAAAGGTTAATGGAGTTTTGGGCTGCATCAGTAAGTGCATTAGGTGCAAAGACACAGGAGCTGTGATACTTTCTCTCTATTTCACACTAGTTAGGCCTCATCTGGAGTACTGTGTGCAGTTTTGGGTTCCAAATTTTTAAAAGGACATGGGGAAATTAGAGAGGGACCAGAGGTAGGGAAGAAAAATGATAAAGGGTTTGGAAGGTAAGCCATATGAGGAGAGGTTGAAAGAAATAGTCATGTTTAGCTTGCAGTAAAGACAATTAGGGGGGTCATGATAGCAATCTTCAAATATCTGAAGGGCTACCATAAAGAAAAAAAGGAGAACACCTTTTCTTTGTTGTTGCAGAGAGCAGGGGCATGTATCAATGGCTCTAGCCTGAAGTTGAAGCAAAGTAGGTTTAGATGGGATATCTAGGAAAATGTCTTCACCGTTACAACTGTAAGGCAGTGGAATTTAGAGAATTTATTTAGGGAAGCTGTGAAATCTCATCATGGGAGGTTTTCAGGAAGAGGCGGGAGTTTTTGACTTCCTCTGTAGGGGAGGCATTGCCCTCTTCCTGCGATCTTTTTCAGTACATTTTAACAACCCTTGCAGCAGCAGGACACTAACTGCTCTTATCCCCTGCTTTACTTCTATCTGGTTAGAATGCTTTTAGTCTCTTTTTGCCTTTTAGTTGTGACAATATTGATTGTGTAGTTTTATGAACACGTTAGACGAGGATTTGTATGGGATAGTTTCGATAGGGTGTTGAACTAGATGACCTCTGGAGGTCCTTTCCAGCCCTATTTTTCTATGATGGTATGATAGATACTACGATTGAAGGCTATATATGGTAATTTGTCTGCTTCAATATTTTGTATAGCACCCATCATTGCAGAATCTAAGCTCTTCCCCAACGGTAGGCAGCTCTCTACCATAAACGGGGAATTATGAAATGCAGTGTGCAAGTACTATTAGAATAGGTTTGCTATAGTAACTGATGAGCCTGATTAGATTTATATCCCATAAAATCTTCTCACTAGAAGACACATAATTGGTTGCTACTACCTGGAAGCATGCACTAACTATTGGTTAATATCTGTCTAAACATTGGTTAGTATCTGCCTAAATATTGCACTAGCTATTGGTTAGTATCTACAAAATATGTATCTGCTTACACGCTAATAAGGTAGGTTTAATCCATTATATTTGCATTCATATCAGATTTTAAAAGACTTACTTTTAAAATATACCATATTGGTGTATGTTAAAAAGCACTATCAAATTACCTTTTCTTTTTATAGCTGATTGATAAGTGTGGGCAAAGCAGTGACTCTGAAGTCTATGCCAGTTCTGTCAGTAATTGGCTGGCAGGAGTTGCTGGAGTGTCTGAACTAAACTCTGATTCCCTGGAGAGAGACTAGAACTAACTTGCCTCCACATTTCTCCTCTGCAATATAAATATGAAATGATATACCTTCTTCTCTGGGACTTAAAATCACAGCACAAAAACTAATGGGAACACTGTATCTTTCACTGAGAAATCTTTGTGAAGTGTCTGTGTGAAATTCAGAAACAGCATATAATTCTCAAAGACCATGCAGATAAGCAGGAAAATATAAACATTTATAAGCAGCAAATAGCCAATTTAAACTTTGGTGGTTTTTTTACTGTTTTTCAAAAAAAGTCAATAAAATTTCATGCTAAGTAAAGCTAATTATCCAGCAAGTAATCACTCCTAGAATGACACTTATTCATCTCAACAAAAGAAATGTCTGGCAGTTGGAAGTTCGTTAAAGCAGTTCACTATACATATTTTATGCTCCATACACAGCTTATAACCTGCAGTTCATTGAAGCATTGCCAGTGCACATGATCAGTAGGAAGTCACTATTATTTTTATCCAAAAGGTAAAGCTGCTGACAAGCTTTGAAGCCAGAGAATATTCACTCAGTTTCCCACTGTTCAGCAATAAAATAAAAGGCCTAGCCTTCACATTTCAACTCTAACAAAGCAATTCTTACAGTAAAAACCACATCAAGGGGAATAAAAAGGCACCCAGCCAGTCTTTTGGACAGCAACCACACTGTGAAAGCAACTATGTGAAAGGAGAAGAGGCTGAGCAACGATGGCTATTGAGCATCCAATACCAGGGCTTTCATTCTCAGCCCAATGATCAAAGTACAGGAGCCCTCTTACATCTTAAGGAAAATAATCTAATTTAAAAGGCAAAACAAAGATTAAAAAAATAGATTAAAACAATGCTAGATTTTGTTTGTATTGCCCTGCTTCTGAGTAGGCAGGATGAGAGCATCTGTGCTGAGTGACACCATTTCTGTAAGAGGCAAACAGACATTTTTCTGATTTGAATTGTTAGAGGATAGCCATCCAAAGAAGAACAAACTTCTTTACTCACTACTAAACAGTAAACATATGGATGCTAATACAGAAGCTGAAGGGTTATGATAAATTTCCTATATCAGTTTGCTTACCCTGATGAAATTGGGAAGACCTATGAACAAAAAGAAAGGGGCCCATCCCCAAACATGTATTTTATAGTCCCCATCTGCATGAGGCAGAAATACTATTTGGAAAAGTGACATCTGTATATTCCCTTAAATTTTCAGTTTTAGTCCCTGATCAGTCCTGGACAAAAGTCCCCTTCATTACCCTTAGCAGCTTTCCTTTATGCTAGATGGCTTCTCAAGCCGTACAGAAATACCTGCTAGCCTACTTACTATACAATTACTTTTAGGTGCCTACCATAACCATATGGCAGTTTACAATTGCAGTTAGCCTTGGTGTCTTGTACACTTGACCATGTGATACTTTTACAAACCTCCATGTACAGACAATTATTAAGCAACTGCCTTTTAAGGGATATATATTTTAATATCAATTGTGGAGGGTTCTGAAACATTTTAGGCTACCAAAAATATGCCTGTTAACTAGTTTGTAGACAACTATATTAAAATGCACTTCTCTGAGTTCAATATTACAGCAAAATCAAATGGATGTCTCGGTTAGTTGAAGAACTATGCCTATGCAGCCTTTCAGGCTCTGAAATAACAATCTCCTAATAATCAGGATACTGCTACTTACAGGAATGTGAGGTAGTGGCACACGTCCATTTGCTTTGGCACTTTCTTGCATCTCTCTGCGATGCTGCTTCCGGAGTCTATATGGTGGGATTCCATCTCTGCCAGGATAAAACAACATGTACCATGTTAAGTGCCTTCCAAGATGGTCCCAAACAAAACTACAATGATTTAACACCAGTGGGAGACAGGCATTATCCCAGTGCCATAGGTCAAGAAACTGAGGGAGAAAGGATCTATATACAATAGGCAAGTACAGTGTGAAGAAGGAAAGAACACAGTATAATGATGCTTGTCCCCTGGCCCCTGCAACAGCAACACACTCCTGATCAGACTTGAAGAACTTTCACGATTGGCAAGGGGTTATGCTAGAGCAGCTCCCTTAAACAGAGGGCAAGACAGGAGGACTTGAACTGTATTGCAGTATCTTTTTATCACTGATAGTTTTCTTCAAAAAGGAATGTATATGGTAAAACGCAAGACAACCTGGGAGAGGAGGAATAAGGACAGAAGATACAAGGGATGTCTATAGCAAGACAAATCCAAACTGGAAATAAGGCATGTATATTTAACACTGAAACAGTTTATCAGAAGCTGTAAAAGACTCTATTATTCCATCACCACTGTCTTAAAAGATGAGTTTTAGCTTAATCAGAAGTTATGAGCTTCATGCAGAAATAGCTAATTGAAAATCCTGGCCTGTGCTGTGAAAGAAGTCAGGCTAGAGGCCTGCTAAAGACCCTTTAGAGTTTACCTATAGATAATACTTATTCATTTGGATTCAGCTGAAAGTTCCAAAGTTTTGCTCTAACAGAACAGCTTGAAATTAGGTCTGGTCACTATGGCTGCTTGCAGATGTTAAAAAACAAAAACAAATGGCACTTTAAACTTGGAACATTCCTGTGCCAGAGCTCAGCACATGTCCAGACGAGGCAGTGCCTTAGCTGGACCTGGCTCTGCAGCGTCTGTATAGATAAAACCGGGTAAATCTGGTATCTTTTATTAGACCTCAAAAAGTTGGAAAAATTCTTCTTCGGAAGCTTTTGGGTACAAACACCCTTTGTCAGGCTGAGGAAGCTTCTGCAGATGGTCTATGCTCTTCCTGGAGGAAGTGGTAAAGCAGCCAGAGGCCAGTATATATGCAAGAAAGCCAGTCAGTTAAAATGTAAATTGAGGTGGTCACTAGATGAGAGATAGGTGGAGAGGGGGAAGGAAAGGGGACATGAATGTAGCTGTAGTCAGAGCATGAGAAACAGGAGAGTTGGGGGAAGGGAATGAGAATAGCTGGTAAAAAGTGGAGAGGTTACTTGGGGAGTCATACGTTAGGTAGCTTATACTGTGTCATAAATCCAATGTCTATATTTAGTCCATGATTTTTTGTATCCAGTAGATTGATGAAGTGAAGTTCATAGGCTCAACTGTGAAAGGTATTTTGTAAATTTACTATACCCCTGTATAAATTGGAGGCTTTAGTGGGGCTTTTTGGCACTTTTATCAAATAGCTGATTGAATCAGCTTTAGCTAAATGTGCCAGAAAGCCCTGCTGAAGTGCCTGATCTATACAGACTCTGCAGAGCTAGGTCGAAGTAACATACTGCTTCTGATAATGCACATTTTTTTTTGTTTTGCTTTAAATGCTGGCAAGCAGCCTGTGCATCTAAACAGTCCCATCTTGACTAATTGTAGCTTTACAATGCATGATGGTAATAACTTTAATGTTTATTCCCCCATACCAATCCCTGCAGTCCTTTCACAGTATCTAATGAAGTATAAGTCTTCTATTTAGAAAAGCTTATGACAGTGGTACTTAATCTTTCTAGACTCAAGGCACCACTTGATAGGCTTGAGGCACCCCTCACTTGACTCCAGGCACCCCTTGGAAAATGCCAGCTCCTAGTTTTTACTTGTTTTTTGACTACAGAAAAACAACAAAGCAATTCTGTTGCAAAGAGCTCAGAAAGACCACAACAGATCAAAATGTTTTTAATACCATGGATTTCTCTTTGAAATCTCTGGATTTACCTTGTAAATCATGTTTGCACACCTAACATAATTAACATTATGTGCAGATACAGGAAGAATGCTGGGAACAACATAAACCCCTCTACATGGCCTCTGGCCTCACAAAAGCTTTCGGCTGTCAACTGAGAAGCACTGCAGAGGATCCTTCTGAGGTATGGATGCCCACCAAAATTTGTCACCACTCTTTGCCTGCTCCACGATGATATGCAAGTGGTGGTTTTCAGTAATGGATCGATCACAGATTTCTTTAAGGTTAAGAAAGGAGTTAAGCGAGGCTGCGTCATCTCTCCAACACTCTTCTTGATATTTCTTACTGTGATGCTACATCTGACCACCAACAAACTTCCAGTCAGAGTGGAGCTAAACTCCAAGCCAAAACCAAGACTACCCTGACCTCAATCATCAAGCTCCAGTACACTGTGTGCTCGCTAGGAAGCAGACCTTCAGGCAATCATCAACATCTTTACCGAGGCACACAAGAAAATGGGACTGACGCCTAACATTCAGAAGACTAAGATCATCCACCAACAAGCTCCTAATGAGCAGTACCCAGTTCTGGTAATTTAGATTTATGGTGAGACTCTGGAGAATGTTCAGTATTTCCTGTACCTCAGCAGTTCTCTCTCATAGAAGGCTGACATCAACGAAGAAATCAAATATCACCTCAAATGTGCAGGTGCAGCCTTCGGATGCCTGAGGAAATGGGTGTTCAAAGATTGTGACATCAGATTCAAAACCAAGCTCCTGGTTTTTTATCAAGCAGTTGTGATCCCTACCTTACTTTATGGAGCTGAGACGTGGACAATGTACAGGAGACACCTCAAGGTGCTGGAGAAGTACCATCAACGCTGCCTACAGAAGATCCTTCAAATCCAGTGGAAACAAAAATGCACCAACATTAGTGTCCTCTCACAAGCAAATACCATGAGCATCAAGGCAATGATCATTTGGGATCAACTTCACTGGGCTGGCCACATCATCCGGATGTCTGACTCCAGACTCCCAAAGCAAGTTTTATTCTCCCAGGTCAGTAAAGGGATATGCTCAAGAGGGCAGAGAAAGTGCTTCAAGGCTGTCCTCAAGGCCAACTTGAAAAAATGCAACATCGACATCAACTTGTGAGAGGCTATCGCTCAGGATCGCCCCAAATGGAGGAAGAGTTTGCTGCAAAGATCTCAGTACTTTGAAACCTCACAGTGAAAATACGACATGGAAAAGCAGGGGTGGCAGAAACAGCATGCTGAAGACCAAATCAGGAATCCAGAGCCAGTCACCCTGTATAGAAACACGTGCCTGAGTTACCACAGAACCTGTCGATCCAGGACTGGTCTTGTCAGCAACCTTTGGACCCAGAGATAAGATAATGCTGGAAGACTATCATCCTTGACTGCGAGGACACCCTGCTTGAAGAATTACTATCTTACACTATACATCTTCTATCCAGTCAGTCTATAAAGGTGCAAATCTACCCTGCCTTCTTCCTGTTCTAGACTAACATGACTAACTACCTCTTGCTGGACCACGGATTAGGTTTAACATGATTGATTTATGTGCACAGGAATTTCAACTGGTCAAATAATATATTAAAAGTTATATCCATTGCGAAGGTCTAATTTTTTGATCAAATAAATGTTTCTGTTACTTAGCTACTTCAGTGCTGATGCTGAGATATAGGCGACTTGTTCATAAAGAAAGGTGTAATTTGTTGCTTCACATGGAATGGAAGTTATTCCATGTACCCAGGGTTACTGTGGATTCTGTGGCATTTCACTAATTCCTGTCTGTTTTGTCTTTCAGTTTTCAGACTGGGGGAAAACTGAGGAAACAGTGAAATATATGAGTGTGGTGAAGTACATTTGATTATTCATCTAGCTTTTTAATGGCTACAATGCTAGTGTTTCTGAGTAAGTTTTTTAGACTCAGAAAGCCCCACCCTTAATATATTTTAGTGTTTAATATATAAGTAATTTATATGGTTAACAACAGAGCAGAGTTCATTTTAACTAATTCAATGTGTTCCACTAATTGTTCATGTCTTTTTCCCCAGCAAGACTGAAACCAGCCCTGCTAATACTTTGGTTGCATGTGCGCTTGCCTATCTGTGTAGTAACAATAGTACATGCCTAAACATTCGAGTACTGCTGAGCCTCCTAAAAGAGGAAGGATCACTGTACAGAGCATAAATGAGCTACTGAAAGGTATGCCATCGTGTGATGGAGTGGGGAGACACCTGTTTGGAAATAACTGATTTTTTTCATGTTTTTAAAATTTTCCTGACAAAGGCAATGAAATTGGAAATCTTTGCTATAAATGAAGCTCACTGAAGACATTGCCATGTTTTAGCTGTCTCAGATACCACATCATTTTTACACAAAAAATCTCCTTCTAACTATTGTAACTACAGTTCCAGCAAAACAATTACTTTATTTGGACAAACAGCACAAATAATCCAATCATAATATAAGTTGTAACGTTTAGACAATTAGCATTTACACAAGGCAGCTGTATTTATTGTTGTGTTAAAACAAAATAATTGCTATATACAATCTACATAGTTGCTTCCAGATACTGGTGAAAGCAAAGCTGTTTAACACTGTCACATTACCAATTCCTAAATTCCCCTTCACACACTACTTGGCAATAAGAACAGGCTCCTTACTGTATTGCTGAGCCTGAATAATGAAAGAATTACAAGTACCAAACTGTTTGAGGACAATGCAGAAGAAGATTTGAAAGGCAACTTAAATTTGCTACCAAATGATTATTGCAATAGATATTTAATTCAACTGTTTTTTATTTCCAAATATTAGTTGCAGAATTTCAAAATGACATCCACTCAGAATCACTTTTTCATTACAACTGGGGTATATAAAGGATTGCCACTGATTTGCTAGTGTTACTGAATTACCTCATGTGAATGGAATTTTATTTAGTAACTCAAGCACTCATAATGAAATTCCATTAAATGGTCATGATTAATGACAAGTGCTTTTTAATGGGAAGACAACTGACAAAACAGAAAATTAGGCTAATTATGGCTCTGCTTATGTGCTGCAGGTAATGTAACATGAGAGAAACA